CCCCAAAACCCCAAAACCCCTCCATCAAGTATTTATATAAAATGAGATTTATGAAGGGTATTGATGAAATTAAAATATTATGAAAATCTCTCTTGACATTAATTTCTAAAAATTTGATCTCAAAATCATGATTAGAGATACAAAGCTCCTTGTATTACTATTATTTCAATCATCATAAGTTATTGATGATGTTTTCTGCTTTTTCTATTTTTCTAAAGACATTATTCTTCATATATTGGAATTCCATTGCATTCTCTTCTCTCAGCTTAGTCCATTCCATGCTGTAAAGTTACTCAATAAGCTTATCAAATTTCTCCTCTTTCGTCTTGCTCACTCTTCTCTCATAAGAATCATCTAATTTCTCGTCCAGCTTCAGCTTCGATTGCCAATCTTTGAGATGAAGTTTCAATGGAAGCAGCTTTTATATTTACTCTTTCATTTTATTCTCTTTAGTTGATATTTTTTACATCTGATCTTTTACTTTAGTAAGATACTTAGTTTCTAATGCCTTTTCCTCCTACATTTAAAACTGATGTTTCTCAATTTTATCTTGCTTTTGAATAGATTTTTATCTTTTTTCTATCATTTGAGTCAATCTTTTTCGTCTCTCCTCCTCTTTTTAATTCTCTGCTTATCTTAGCTTCTTTTGATATTTCTCTAAAACTGATTACCGCTTCAACTCCTCAGTCTTTTAGATTGAGAGAAGTATTTATTCTTATTTTCGCTTTTGCTCATGAGGATCATGAACTCTCATGCTAAAAATAGCAGGTCCCTAAACATTCTGCTAGTACTACTGAGTATTCAATCCAGTCAAATTCATTTTCCATAAACTTTTCTAAAATCATAAATATTTTAGAGATAATCATTCCATGTAATCTTACCTTTCTCTGTGTACTTTATGTAATACTTTCCCTCTCAAAGTTATTTTTGCTCATAGGAGAAGTAAGACTATGCTAGAATACATGACTACCACCAAATCTCTTTTCCTATTGTCTTCTATACTATCTCAGCATCCAGTCAGGCATGTGATCTATTCCATATTTAGTTTCAAATTCCTGAATCTATTCCCATACTCTATCTTCTTTTTCCTTGGAAAAGAATCCGTCCTTTATGATTTTACCTCGAATTTTAGAATTTTTATCCTCACTAAACTCATCCTCGTTGCTTTCAAATAAATGAATGTTATTTCTGATCTTCTTACTTTTAATAAAGTAATTTGGATCTTCATTAATCATCTGCAATTCCTGATCATTAAACTTGTTCACTATTATTTCATTTGGATCTTATTCCTCTAAACCAGTAAGGGGAAATTCTGGAATCATTTATGTATAGTAATCTGCTTAGGGATTGGCTATATGTAAATTAAAAATTTAAGATTTAACTTACGAAATCTCATTCTGACAATTGTACTTTTTGGTCTTCCATCTGATTCCTCAGAAATAAGCTTTTTCTTTAGGGGGTTTTCATCCTCTTCACTATTTTCAGTTGCTTGCTTTTAATTTTGATGATGCTTCATGTGATCATATCTGTCCTCCATTTCTTATATACCTTATCCAGCTTTGATCTTTATATACTAAAGCCTCTCTTTTCTTCTGTTCTGCTTTTTGCATAGGTTATTTTAATGTACCTTTAAAGTCTTTGTGATCTTTGACCTTAGTAGTCTTCTCTCCATCAAGTCTTTATAATTCATCTATGATTCTTGCTTCGCTAATTTTTATTTTTCAAGTATCTCCTCTCTCATAATTTAATCCTCGTGTAGTCTTTACTCTTTAACCTCTCTCAGCTTTTCCTCATATTCCCTTTGATGCCTAAGAAATTCTTTATGATCTTTATTTTTGGGACTAAGTTCATTTGTTGTCTTTAGTTGGGCTAAGCTTTTACTATTGTAAAGTAAATTGCTCCTTGATAGCAAGGCTTAATCTTCAGTGCTATATCTTTGGTGATTGACAGCTTTTGTAAAATCTGAGAACTATAGATTCTTGCTCTATCTATTGCTTATGGAGCAATCGCCTGTCTCGAAGGATTTAATATTGCTCATGTTGTTTTTAAGTGCAGTATTACCATTTCTATTAGAATTTTAAACTTTCTATTTGTTATCCGAAAGCATACCATTGCTTGTAGGACCATATTAATCAGAGAGTATAGCATTTGAATTAATCCTCTTTAAGGGCATATTTTGTGAAGACCTGTAGAGTCTATCAAATATGCTTTACGATTTTTAGTTCTAGGTAAGGGATTCTTTGTTGAGATTTTAGAAAAATTAATTCTCAGGCTATACTTTGGGAGATGAAGGATCTCCAAACTTTGATAATGAAAATTTTCCTGGCTAAGGGGCATAGTTGAAATTGCTCTGTAAGCTAAATCTTTGGTTCTTAAGACTATTGATTTCTAAGTCATTATTTTTTTATGATTATTTTCTTGCGTTGATATGTTAGTCCTAGTTATTAAAATCAAGTCTCCCAGAATTCAAAAAGAAATTAGACTGAGATTATGAGCACTTAAGAGATTGCTTTTCTAAATTTAGGTTGTTTATGAAAGGATTTTAATTTTTCTTTTCCAAGTCCCCAGATTTGTTCTGTTAATGATCCTCGTTTTTATTACTGTGGATCTAGCTATCTGAATTTTACAATCCCTCAATGTCCTTAAGAGTAGAGATATGCTGCTATTGCTGTTGGCTAGAAATTTTATTTTTCTTAAATCCTTTATTGCTATTGATTGGATTTGGATCTGACAGTCTTTAAGGTCTTGGATTACTCTCTGTCTTAGAGATCACGTTGAACGAAAATAGCGTTATTCTTTTCATTTTATTTCAATAATTTATATTCAAGAAATTATTTAATGCTCTGAACATCTAAATGTGATGCTCTTATTTAACTTATCATAATTATACTAGAAAACTGTTATAATTTCTGGCACGGGGTTTTGGGGTTTTGGGG